ATAGAAGAAGACCTTAGAAGATGGAAAAATATACCCTGCTCATGGATAGGCAGAACTAACATCATCAAAATGGCGATAAGTTTATTTTTTAATTTATGCTTTCGATTAGTGTCTTGTAGAGGAACATGATGGCGAGGCTCATTAAGGTATATTCACATATGTATACAGGAAAATTAGGTCAGATTCATTCTACTGTTCTTTATTCCATCCTTCCTCCCTCCCCTTGAATTCTTCTCTCCTACTCTAGTGATCTTCCGTCTATTTTTCTTTTCCCAACTCTTTATTTTGAATTATCTTTACATAGCAGAGAAAATATTCTATCTTTAACTTGTGGGGACTGGCTGTTTCACTTAGCATGATATTCTCCAGTTCCATCCTTTTCATGACAAATGCCATTTCATTTCTTTATGGATGACTAACAGTGCTAGGAAAACTGGAAATTCATGCATAGAAGAATCAAATTTAATCCCTTCTTATAACTTCCACAAAATACAACTTAAGTGAATCAAAGACGTAGGAATTAAACCAGAAACCCCAAATAACTTAAAAGAAAACACAGGCCTAATATTCCAACATACTGGCATAGGAATAGGAATCAACTTCCTTAATGAGACTTATAAGCTCAAGAAATTAAAAAAAATAAAAATGAAATAAATCAAGTAGTGGGATGCCATAAAGACAAAGCTTCTGCAGAGCAAAGGAAACAAAGAGTGTGAAAAGAGAAAATCTCTGCCAATAAATGCCATCATTCTATACAAAGAACTCAAAAAATTAACATACACACACAAAAACAAATGAGCAAAAGAGCCAAACAGAAAATTTTCAAAATAAGAAACACAATGGTCCATGAATAAATAAAAAAAATGTTCAATGTCCACGGCAATTAAAACAATATTGTAGATGACATACTAGTGAATACTATAAAATGCAGGGTTAATTAGAGCATAATTAACATTTAACAGAAGCTAAAACGTGGTATGAACAGTAATAATTACGGTTTATGAGATTATTTAAAAGTTTTTCATAAGGCAAAGGAATTCTGCCACCTGCCAGTAATATTTTACCTGACATTTCAACATTTTAAATTATGTTAAAGAAATTTACCTTTATATACCTGCTTAAAACATACATTAAATAAAAGACCGAACAGATCTTCCTGGTTACCTAAGAATCCTTTGTAACTTAATGTACTTAAAACAGAATTCTTATTCTTGCTTCTTTTCTTACCCACATGCCCCAATGATTAAATGTGGTTGCCATTTGCTCATTTTTTTTTCATACTAACAACCTAAGAGTACAATTTTTTTTGTCTCTGTTCCTTCTAATGTCCCTTAACTCACACCTAGAATCATACTAGCTCTGTTTCAATATTTGCCAAATACGTGCACTATTGAGCACTACTCTAAGAAGAATCTATTTTCTTCTACCTACAACAGTTGTCACTTAAGTGATCATATTTATACTCCTGCGTAAATGATTTGATTATCACTTCCCATTCCTATATAAAAATTAGACAATGGTTTCTCTTCACACTTACATAAAATCCAAACTCTTCCTTCAAATACCAAGAACATTGCATAATCTGACCCTGCTTTCCCTTCTTGATTTCCTCCTATGTCACTGCCCTTTTCTATTTTGGTTTCTAGGTTTCAGCACCCTGGCATTCTTTTGACCTCTTCCATATGTTTTAATCCCCAAGATCTTTGCACTTGAGTGTGAGCTCAAATCATCTCCTAGGAAAAGAATTATTTGGCCCATCAATCTTATCATATCATCTTCTATTTATTTGTTACACCTCTTAACATCATTTAAAATGATCTGTTTTTTTGACTCTAGAAAGCTAACTCAGAGGACTCACAAGCACACAGCAGAAGCACACATTATACATACCTTGAATTCATTTCATTTTATCTACTACTTCATGTCTCACCAGACTTCTTAAATAAAGCATTTAAAGTTTCAGTTGAAGAACATTTTTCTGTTAAGATGGCAACTGATTCCTTTTTATTAAAAATGAGATTTTTTCCAAAAAACTTTTTTGTTTTTAAAAAAAAACCTTGGTGTTTTTGCCTCATCTAGAAAATAAGGGTGCCCAAAATTTGCTTTGAAATTAATGAATCCATGTAACAACAACAACAACAAAAAATTCATGAAGCTGCTTAAAACTTGTCATGACTACACCACAATAAAATGCATTTTTCCCAACTAAGATGGTTAACTTAAAAATTTTGTTCAATTTAGCAGTAGTCAAACTTAGTAATTTATAATAAAGCTACATCCTGATGAATGAGTCAAGGAAAGATGGCTTGTGATATCCTTGAAACTTGGCAGTATTCAAACTTGAAAATATTATAAAAAAACATATTTCTGAAAATATTACAGAAAACAATATTAAAGAAACTAATCTGACATAGTTAATCATAAAATTAATTCAAAATAAGCCACTAAGAAGAAACTACAAACTAATTAGAAAGATGAACTGTGATATTTCTGAAAGAAATAGATCATTAAGATAAAGAAAATGTGGTATATATAAACAACAGAGTTTTACTCAGCTATAACGAAGAATAATATTATGGTACCTGGATGAAATTGGAGAACATGTTATCAAGGGAAATAAGTCAGACTCAGAAAGTTAAGGTTTTAATGTTTTCTGTCATCTATTGAAACTAGACCAAAAAAAAAAAAAAAAAAAAAAAAAAGCTGTGGGAAGATTGGGGATTGGAACCCAAGGAAAATAGAAGGCAAATTAGTACAGCAGAGACAGGGGATAGATGAGAAAAGAGAAGGGACCAGAAAAGGCAGGAACACTGGATTGAAACTGACTAAATTATGTACATTTATGAATATACCACAGTGAATTTCATCTTTATGTATGTTGGTAAAGAACTAATTTTTGAAAATTAAATAAATAGTAGGAAGACCATTGGAACAGAGGAAGGAAAAGGGAAGGAAGCAGAGAAGAAAAAAGGGGTATACAGGGGACTGAATTGAAGCAAATTATAATCCATGTTCATATGATTATAATGAAACCCAATGTTATGTGAAACTACAATATATTGATAAAAAATAGATATTCCATAAGGACACGGGAAAATATGCCACATCAACCCTGGAATCCTGAAGGATATGAAAAATAACATATGGACAACTTACAGATAATTTTCTTAAATGTGATTATTTGTTAATTACAGATTGGAAAGAAAGTCAAGATTAGAGTACTAAAATACGTAAAAACAAAATAGAACAAAGGACAAAATTTGCCAGCATTCACATGCCTATAGCTTCAGATTCATCAACACAGACAACAGCACACTCTGAGATTATGCAGCGTGTCTGTTCCTGTGAGAGCAATCACCTCTCTTTTTCTTTTCTCCTGTAGTTTTTGCTCTTCCTCTTCTCTCTCTTTTCTCAGCTGTTCTTCCAATTCTTTCATTTTTCTCTCCAAATGGAAAAAAAAAAGTTTTTTCAGATTCACTATTAACATTTAATTTATAGAACAAATAAATTTAAAATTTAAATATATCAGTAGTAATCATGACATTAGCTTTTGATTTTTTTTAAAAAAAGTTCAAGATATTCCATTTTTATTTTATTTATTTGTTCAATTTTTTTGGTACTAGTAATTAAACCCCTATATTAGGTAAACACTTTATCACTAAGCTACTTCCCTAGCCCTAACACATTCAATTTTGAATATGGTAAGGTCATTGTGAACATTAATTAGAAATGACTTTAGTTAACTGGCAAATAAATTTGGTAGTATACCTCTTGTTCTTCTTGCTGTTTTCGAGCTGCCTCTTCCTTTTCCTTCTTTATTTTGAATTCTTCTTGTGCTTTCTGTTCCCTTAACAACCATTCCTCATGTAAGTTTTGCCTATCAATGTAACAATAATATCAAATAATCTAAAAAATAGTCATTAATTTAAAAATGTACATAAACACACGTAATAGCGATATGTCACATTTTGGAAGTGATTAAAACACTTTGAATGGTTAAGTAAGAATAAAAAAAAACTAATAAACATAAATAGAACTCTTGGAAGAACCATAAATAAATCTAACTTCATGGAGGATAATAATTTAAAATCATTACTCGGTTCAAATGTTTATGTGCTACAGTACTGTTCAAATTTCAAAAAATAATACTATCACTCCTTTTCATCCATTCATACGAATATTTGGATGGCAATAATGTGGGTATTGAGTTTCAGAAGAACACCTAGATTTTCACATTCAGAAAACAGTACGCTTCTTATTGAATATGTATTTAAAGTCTTTAAAGTCTTAATTTTAGGACTATAGTCCTATGAAAAAATCTGACTCTTTTGCAATGGGCTTTAAATTACTAATTTCATAGTAAAAGGGACTCCTGTAGTTTGCTTCCAAATACTTCATCTGCTGAAACAAGGAAAATAAAGATATACTGTGGTCATGCTTTTTTAAAAATAAGGAATGCTATAGGTTTTAAGATATCAAGTTATAAAAATCAACCAATGTGTGCCTTTTGTAAAAAATAATGTATTATAAAAAGGGATATTACTTATAGTAAGGGCCAAGACAATAATATTGTAAATCTTAACTCTGAACATAGGTTATATTTCAAAATCTTATTTACCAATAAGTATTTAGAATCTAGAAAGGATTTTTCCACTGAATAAGTAAGATGGCAATAAATATGAAGTATTCTGAATTATTTTCAATACTAATAACAACTCTAATATTACTAGTAATATTATTCATTAAAATAAGATTTAATGTCTAGCTTAGGAATATAGGGAAATGTTTTAGGAGGAAATACAATTTCCAACTATGAATGCCAAGAACTCATGTTTTAGCCATGGCATAAGCTAGGTCACTAAATATAACATGTTCATGTGCATACACACAGTACCTACAGAACACATAGGGATTTAATTTGTAGAACTTGAATGCAAAGTTTATATACATTCATTGTACATAAATTTTAGACTACAAAAAATACAAAACATTAAAAACTAAAATGCAATTCACTTTAAAATAGTACATTAAGTCTAGATATTTTCAGACAATTTACCTATCTTTCCATAGTATTTAAATACTGTTTTTTGGTTTCAATTAACTGCAGACAGAAAATATTTGAAAAAAATATACTGTGTATTTACTCTTGAAAAGTATGTACTTTTTTCCTGTCATTATTTCCTAAACCAGGGTAGAACCACTCTTTACAAAGCATTTATACTTTGGGTAAATAATAACATCTACTATTAGCCTATTAGCTAGAAATATAAATACTTGATGTTGTGCAGAATGAGCAACATGTTTTGTACACTTCTTTTTATACCAAGTTGATTTTTCAAAGTTACTACATAAATTGAAACATAATATCATTAATTCATCATTAATAAGAGGAAAAAAACCTTTGAGAGAAAATTAGTAAATACAGTACCTAGAAATAATTCAGAGGCATATAATAAACTTATAAAAAACAATTACATATGATTCTCCATTTTAGAGAAGATAAAGACAAGCATTAAACAGTCAAATCATTTACTTTGACTTGTATGATTTACTTATATGATTTATACCAAAGACAGTCTTATCACTATGTATAAATAAGTAAATTTATCAAGTTCTCATCTAAATAATGACTTCTTGTGGCCTATTCTTACATTATTCACTCAATCCTCATTGAACTTAACCGGTGTGACTCAGCTGTTGTTTAGTATTAAAAGAAAACAGTTCTTTCATTAAGCTCATTTCCCTTAAAACAATTATTTATATAGTATTTTGAGGAAAAAAATGAGCAGCAATTTAGATTAACCCATGCTTGTAAACCCCCTACTCTTCACTTTCCTCAAACTGTTCAAATGTTTATTTAAAAAACTCCACAAAATTCAAATAAAATACCTTGAATGGTTAATTTTTGAATCAGTCCTAACCTTTCTGTGTCCAATAGTTCTTCTTCTCCTTGCTTTTCAATAAAGGCTTCCTCTTTCTCTTCTGTTTTTAACCATTCTGAGAGAATTTAAAGGTTTATTAAACCAAATGCTGCAAAATTTTGAATATTTCAGTATTCAAATACTTAACACATAAACTTGTTATTCTCTACAATGATGATAAAAACTTTTCTAAATTTGCTCCTTAAGATTAAATTCTCCAAATATTAAATTTGATCTTATCTGTAGATATACTGTTTTATAGTAAACTAAATTTCATGCTGGCTTATACTTAAACCTTAACACATATTACCATGTGAGTAAACATACAATATCCATACTGTTAGGTAGCAGCTAGCAATTAGCAGTAAAATGGAGGTAACATCATAAAGTGTTCTTTAAATTACTTTAGGGTCCTTCTTTAAACCATCTTAAGAAATCAAATGGTGATAATCTGCAGAAAAAAAAAGAAGATAGTATTTGTAAAACATGCCAAGAGAAAAAGAATAAACAAGACTAATTATTGATAGTGTCCATTGAAGTTCATGTGAAGTTAGGAATTATGGGAATAAGCTCTTCAACTGATCCAGAAGGAAGCTTCCTTTACCAGTGCAGGTAGACTAAGGTAACTTCTGATCAGTGCCCACATTAACATGAGACTGACTTGTAGATGAAGTCCCCTGAATAGAATGTGCATGTGTCAATTCCAGAGATGATCAATAAAGGCCTTCTGGAGGAGCTGAACACCTGAATTGGCAGAGTATGGAAGGTTGTCCCCCGTTTTCCTGGTAAATATCAAACAATAATAAATTTGGAGACAGTTCTGTCACCTTTGATATTCTCTGCTTGGAGATGACTCATTCTCTCTCCAGAGTGCTGTTATTTTACTTCCACCTATAACAAAATCCTTGTGCATGACTTTTAGTGTCTGCATTTAATTTTTCTTTGGTGGGAACACAAAAACTCAGGTTTGGAGTTTTAGCTCCCTGCTTTCCTGCATCTTACCTGAGAAAACGCACAATTAGTGCTAGTTTTACAAAGGAAAACATTCATAAACATGTTCTATGACAGAGTGTTAGCTCTATATTACTTGCATTTAAAACATTAGATACTTTAGGAATAGGTATGAACGATGCATGGATGAGTCATCCAGACTTTCTTCCTGTGGCAATCGTTTCTGACAGGTCTTGGGTTTATTTAGGATTGAGAAGCCTCATCTATTCTTCATCAGATACTTATTTGACCTCTTCTGACTCTGGACCTGAAATTCCAAAGAGTAGGAGGGCACACACACAGTTAGATAAGGAATGCATTACCTGAATCTCTCAATCGAGCGAGCTCCTGTCGACGTTTTTTTCGTTTCTGTTTCTTCAGGGAAGCTCTGTATTTTTTATGGCTGGAAAGATCACACACACGCGCATATATATGAAATATAAAATAATGGTGATATCACCACTAATTAGATCAACGTTAATAAATTAGCAGATTAATAGTGGTGACATATCTCCATTACCAAGTGGCCATACCTACCACACTGTTCCTCGGAGCTTCCCTCCCGGGGCCTCTTAGGAAATCGCTGGGGTGCTCAGGAGGGAAATATGATCTCTAATGTTTTGATTACAATGCATCTATCTAATATCGCTTCATCCACCCACGCCTAGGGCAAACCAACTCCAACGTTTCCTTCCAACAAGGACAGAGATCCCGGTAAAATCTGGGAGCAAAGGACGTGTTGTGAGAAACTTGCTCATAGTTACCTGCTTTCTCTTTCTTTCCTGCCTACTCATTCTCCCAATATATGCTGAGTCTATTCCGACCACCATTCTCACCAAATCATCTACCTCATTTCTTACCTCTTTTTCTCAGGAAAAATTGTCTTCACCAACGCCGCCATTAGACACACATGGTTTAGGAAACCAGGATGTGGCCTGAAGAGGTGGGATTAAGAGAGAAGCGGGAGAACGTAAAAGCTGGCGCTTCAAGGTCTCAGCCCGGGTGGAAGCAAAGGCCAGTAGTCGGAGATTCCGCTGTCACCTGGCAAAACTGTGATTCCCCAGACTCCGTTTATTGCACTCCAAAAGTAATGCTTTAGTCCTCAATGATTTCTCAGCTTATTACTATATTCCTTCACTCTCTAGCAGGAGGTGAAAGTCCTATTCCTCCCCTAATCTCGTTTATTCACGAAAACTCCACCATTAGAGGGACTGATACCCTTTAGATTTGTCCAAACTCCGCCTCCTCCTTCTGCTCCACCTATCAGCGACTCAGACAAAGCTCCAGATTCCACCTCCTTCTCTTTGCTCTGGTAGTCTCCTGTAAAACCACCTTAACCCCGGGAGATGATAGTTAGAACCTTTGTCTCCAACAAAGTTTACAATTGAGAAGCAGAGAAGAAGTGCTTATATAAATAATATGGTTTGCGGAAAGGTTTGTTCCTAACATAATCCCTTCAGCCTAGGCTGAGGGAAAACAGATATCTGAGTGGAGAATGGTAGGAAACAGGTTGCCTGTACTTCAAAGCACAAGGTAGTTAATGGAATATGCCTGGAATAGCAAGGACTTTGACAATAAAGCTTCATGTGTCATTAAAAAAAAATCTCAAGGAATATAGCTGTGTAAATGAAGTAGGACTAGGTTATGGATGAAAGTTTGGTACATCTTTTTAAGAGAAATTAATTTTCGATAGCTAAGAGGGGAAACAGCTAAGAAGGGAAACATTGAAAGCTTTTAGGAGGTGACCTTTGATAGTAAAATGTTTAATAATTCTTTGGGGTTGTGTAAATGATTAAAAGATAGTGCTAGATAAGAAATAAAACCAGAAAATGAGAAATTACATCCCATCTGATTCAAATGTATGATATGTCAAGATCATTGTACTGTCATGTGTAACCAATTAAAACAAAACAAAACAAAACATAAAAAAGAAATAAAACCAGTAATCAATAAATGGGATGAATTCAAACTAAAAAGCTTCTCACCCAAGGAAATAATCAATACCAGGAGAGCTACAGAATGGGAGAAAATATTTACCATATGTACCTCAGTTAGAGCGGTAATCTCCACCACAGGTAAAGAACTGAAAAGATAGCCAAAAAACAAATAACCCAAATAATAAATGGGCTAAGGAACTGAGCAGATACTTCATGGGAGAAGACATACAATCAATCATCAAACATATGAAAAAAAAATGTTCAACATCTCTAGAAATTGGAGAAATGCAAATCAAACTAGCCTAAGATTTCATCTCACTTCAGTGAGAATGGAAATTATAAAAAACACAAGCAACAATAAGTGTTGGTGAGAATGAGGGGAGATGCACACTTATACATTGCTGGTAGGACTGCAAATTGGTGCCACCACTGTTGAAAGCAGTATTGATTCCTCAAAAAATTTGGAATGGAATCACCATTTGACCCAGCTATTTCACTCCTGGCATAATACAGTGACACAGCCACTTTGTTAGTGGCTCAATTCACAATAGCTAAACTGGAACCAACCTAAATGCTCCTCAATAGATAAATGGATAAAGAAACTGTGGTATATATACACAATGGACTATTACTCAGCATTAAAAAAGAATGAAATTTATGGCATTTGCAGGTAAATGACAAAGTTGGAGAATATCATGCTAAGCTAAATAAGCCAATTCCAAAAATCTAAAGACCAAATGTTTTCTCTGATATATGGATGATGATTCATAACTGGTTGGGGGATAGGGAAGAATGAAGGAAGTTTTCTTTGGGCAGAGGGGTGTGAAGGAAGGAGGCATGGGGGTGAGAAAAATGGTTGAATGAGACCGACATTATCACCCTATAGCACATGTATGATTGCATGAATATTGTGACTGCATCAGGCACAACCAGAGAAATGAAAAATTGTGCTTCATGGGCTGGGGATGTGGCTCAAGCGGTAGCGTGCTCGCCTGGCATGCGTGCGGCCCGGGTTCGATCCTCAGCACCACATACCAACAAAGATGTTGTGTCCGCCGAGAACTAAAA